AAAAGTTTTAGAATATTCACAATTCTTTTCTCCCACAGAGGCGCACAAGTTCGTCCTCGAGCAAAATCGACCGCGTCGAAAGCGGTGGCTAGGCCGAGTTGAGGAGTAAGAAGAATCATAGAAAAAAATCGCCTTTGTACAGCAGCAGCAAAAGTGCATCAAGTTCAGCTTCTTTCTTATCAGCATCATCCTCAGCACCAGCTTATTCTAGTCTTTTCGTTCTTCTTTTTATCACCCCATCTTTATCAGCCTGCTTTGACACGCACGTACACACATTATTTACACGTTCCATCACCTTCTTCTTCCTTATCACCACTTTTCAGCACGACACTCTTGTGTGTTTGCCTGTAATTCAATACCAGCTGTAATTTTTTGTTTTTGTAATCCTACCCTCTCGCCATCGAATTAAAAACCAAAGACTGAGCAAATGAAAAAGTGCAACTCTAGAAACGCGCGAGTGCATTGCATAATTTCATAATGGCTGTTGTTGTTACCACCGTTCAGTGCAATAAGAACAGCAACAGCAGCAACGCATAATAAAGAGTACAAATTAGGTGCAAAACTGTGTTCAAGAGAGAGTGAAATCATCAAAGTTCAAGACTGTTGTGAAGAAAAGTGTAGAAAAATAAATAAACAGAAAAGTGGGAAGAGGGAGCAAAAGAAGTTCCGTTGAACTTCTTTTGCGTCACCACCACCATCACAATTAAAAGATAACAAAAATAGTGATCCTCAAAGATCAAGACAAGAAAAGGCGAGAAAAAGCGAGAAAAAGCGAGAACAGGAAGGAAAAAACATAGAGAAAAAGATGAAAAGAAATAAACAGTTGTACACTTACTAGAACTGATGGAAAGGGCATGGGAACGAGAGGATGAAAACGAGAAAATTTGGGAAAGGGATGGTTCGGTGGTTGCAGAAACTCTCTTTGATCACATCTGCATGGCCGCCGCCCCCGCCGAGAAGAGCTTATACCAGCGCTCCGTCTTGCTCTCCAGGTCAAGCGTCGCCAGGTCGACCATGGTCGCCCCGATTCGACTGTTCCCCGAAATGTCGTACGCCCACACGGAAACCTACGAGAAAGAGAAAAGTTAAAAAAACTATAAAAATCTCCTCGAAAATCTCCTCACCTCCAACTTCCTCGCCCTGAGCTCCTTCAGCTCCATCTCCGGGTAGCTGATACTTTCCATAAAGGTAGGATTGGCGTTCTTGCTTGCCACCTTCGTCTTCCGCTTGGTCCGCTTCTCCGGGTCGGGCAGCAGATAGAGCTTCACATAGGTGTCCGGACTGCTGTTCCGGTCGGCCACTAAATTCCGCGCGTACATCACCAGCACATTGAGGCGCCCATCGCTGCTGTAGCTGATCGCCAGCTTAATCTTCCCCGGCAGCAGAGGACCGGAGCTTCGAGGCGGAAGAGCTGAGGCTGATGATGATGATGATAAGGAAACCGTCGAGGCTGAAGCTCCAAAATCCGACACTGATAATCCTCCTCCAAGGCCTCCCCGATCCAGGTCGAGGTACTGCTGATCACGGTGGTAGGCGTGGAAGAAGGTGTACACAATGTCCGAGTGGGAGATCTCATGGGCGAGCGAGAGCAGTCGATTGAGGAAGGTCTGCAGCTCCCGTTTCGCCCCCTCGGCGGCCGTCGCCGAGGTCGGTCGCCTTCCTCTTCCGGCCGTCTCAAAACGGACCAGGGGAAAAACCCTCGTCAGGCGCTCGTGGAGCTCCCCAAACTCCCGATAGGAGCGGTAGACGAGCGACTCGGGCACGGTGGCCCGGCTGACGAGCACCTTGTAGAGGTAGTCCCGTCCTAGAGCTTCATCAATCGCTGGCGGCCGCTTCCAGATGCTGACAATCTCCAGACGGGTAATCTCGCCCTCGGTGCCCTGCGACCGGCTGAAGCGGGTCGAGCTGAAGGAGAACCGCCAGACGGAGTGTTCCGAGCTCTCCAGGCTGGCCATGCCCGAGTCCATCATGTTGTCTCCATTTGACTTTCCGCCGCCCCCGCCATTTCCGTCGCTGACGTCGCCATTTTCATTAGAACCATTTTCGACTGTGTTTCCGCCACCGGGGATGACCACGTAGTTCTGATTTTCCACCTGAGCTGCTGAGCTTCCTCCACCGCCTCCCCCGGTTCCACTCAACTTCATCTGCGCCAGCGAGTGGATGAAAAAGTTAAACTGCGTCCCAAAGGAGTCCAGAGACTCCCGAATCAGCCGGTAGAAGCCCTCCTTCGCCTTGCTGTCCGTCTCCGCGGGCATCAGCGCGTGGTGAAAGTACATTATAGTCTCCGGCGTCAGGCCCTCAATGCTCGAGGGGATCATCATCGCCAGCAGCGAGAGGAGAAAGTTCCCGTTCGCCCGGACCTGGCTGAAGCACGTGCAGCACAGGTCGACAAAGTACTGAAAGGACTTGCCGCTGCGGTCCGACTCGCCGTTGATGACGTAGGCCATGTCGGCGGTGAAGACAAAGGGGGCCCGGTCCCGTTTGAAGCCGGCCATCGTCTGCGCCTTCCCGAGAAACTTGCCAAAGTCAATGTGAAAGAGGTGCCCACTGGTGGTGACCATGATGTTGTCGTTGTGGCGGTCTCCAAAGCCGAGCAGATACGAAATGACCACATAGCCGGCACAGCTGTGCACAAAGTTCTCGCAGGCCATCTGGTACTCAAACTCGCCCGAGTTGTGGCGCTTCAGCCACTGGCTGATGGTGTGCCGCTTGAAGTTCCCCGCCACGCCGTACTCCCGCTGAATCTGANTGGTACTCAAACTCGCCCGAGTTGTGCCGCTTCAGCCACTGGCTGATGGTGTGCCGCTTGAAGTTCCCCGCGACGCCGTACTCCCGCTGAATCTGACACAGCGTCCTCGCCCGACTGACCATCTCGATCATGCCGGTCCGGTGGGCGGTGTTCACCACGGCAAAGGTGATCAGGCGGAGGTCGAGGCCGGCGCGCAGCCAGAGGCGGTTGATGATGCTGACAATCTGCATGACGAGCATGTCCTGGCGCAGGTCGTCCCCGGCCTTGAAGATGATCTTGCTGAGCTGCTTTCGCTGGCCGTAAAGGGCGGCCATCAGGTTGGGGCGGGTGGGGCCGACGGCGTCCGCCAGCTGGGCGGCGCTGGTGCAGTAGGGCGGCGCCGCGTGGAGGACAATCTTCAGGGGGCGGCTGAATGAGCTAAAGTAGCTGCACTGCGGCAGCTCGAGGCCGGAGACTTGGAGGGACGGGGAGAGGGGAATGGAGATGGGGCAGCACTCCTGAGAAGAGGGGAGGGGGGGGAGGAAAAAGAGAGGTTAAAAAAGGTTGAAAAATGAGGGACACAAAGGGACTCTTACCAAAAACTCATGCACCGTCTCGAGTCGCTGCCTGAGCACGGCCGCCTTCGCCGAGTCCTTCGCCGCCTTCACCTCCTCGCTAATGGCCTCCAACCGCCCACCCAGCTGCTCCTGCCGCTCAAACATCGCCCTCGCCCTCCGCCCACAGAGGGCGAGCAGGCCGTTGAGGTAGAAAGCGGCCCGCCCCCCAAACCGGCCATCGCCCTCCCGACAGCTCTTCAGCAGCCAGTAGAGGTGGTGGCAGAAACGGCTGCTGCTCAGGGCGCACTCGTAGAGCAGCCAAATCAGAGAGCAGTCGAGGTACGGCTCGTAGCGAAGCGACTGCACCAGCTGGGGAAGGAAGTCGCACAGCTCGTCCGGCGAGACGTGCTTCAGCCAGCGGACGGCCTTCAGGCGGACATTCCGGTCCGGGTAGTCGGCGGCGAGCAGCTGCAGCGCCTCGATAGCGGTCAGGAAGGGCAGCTGCTTCGAGGAGCTTTGAGAGGCATTTCCGGCGGCGTCAAAGCTCATCGAGCGGGACATCTTCAGCGGACTGACTGCACTGCTTCCGGTGGTGATCTGCGGACTGGTCACCACGCTGGAGTTGTGAATGGCAAAGTAGTCAAAGGAGTCGAGGAGCTGGTAGGTGCGACGGACGTCGCCGTGCGCCCACCTGGGCGCCTTCAGCAGCTTCAGAATGGCGCCCGGAAAGCGGGCCAGCGCCTCGGCGTTCTTCAGCAGCAGCGCCCGGTCCGCCTCGGCCAGCGGCAGCAGCGGATTCGCCTGGATGACGCTGATGATCTTCGCCCGCTCCGCCGCCTCCAGGCACTCCGTGCTCCGTCCGTAGAAGCCGTACAGCTGGTCGTGAAGTCCTCCTCCACCTCCGCCGATGCTTCCCTGGGAGCTTCCATTGCTGACCACCGAGTCGGATCGATCCAAGGTGAGGGGAACGCGAGTGTCCAGGCGGAGGCTGGCCCGGTCAAAGGTGCTCCTCGCAAAGGTACTCGAAGAGGTTTCCAGTTGAGATGTCCTCTGACTATTTTGATTACCTCCACTTCCTCCCCCAACTTTGGGGTAGTAGTACTGCACCGCGGGCTTATTCTGCCGAATGGAGAAGACAATCATCGGCGCCTTGGGCGCCAGGTGGTAGCCCACCACGTAGTTGGAGTCGTCAATCACCGGCACGTGGGCGTCCAGCTGCTCAAAGGAGTAGATGGCAGCGGCAGAGGACTGATTTGGATTGCTGCTACTTAAGCTGCTCTGACTGCTCTTGAAGATGCTAAGCGGCGGCTTGAAGGGCGTCAGCGGGAGGAGGTGGGCGCCAATGCGAAAGAGGTGCCGCTCGTCGACGTTCTCATGTTCAAAGAGGTAGAAGAAGGTGGCGGCGAGGATGTCCACTGCAAAAAGAAGAGAGAAAAAAGGTTAAAATCTTGAAAAGCTAAATTAAACACTTACCCTCCAACTTCGAACCAGCGCCCACCGTCCCACTAGAGCCGCCCATCGACGCGCTTCCCTTGATGCCCAGCAGCTGAAAGTCGACCCTCGCCTCCCGGGGGAGATTGGCAATGATGGTGTCAAAGACCAACTCCCGGTCAAACTCCAGCCGCCAGTGCTCCATATCGACCACCTTCCGCTCCGTGTACTTGTACTCGAGGACGGAGAACCCATGGGCAATCACAACCCTCAGGCAGAACCACCCGTACGCTGGCTTCCACTCGGGCGCCACCTGGCAGACGGCGTCCAGCCGCAGCTTGAAGCTCTCCACCTGCCGCGTGATGTCCTCCTTCTTCGGGGGCAGCCTAGGAGCGTGCTTGAAGGGCAGCGCCCAGTTGACGGGAAAGGTCACCGAGAAGAGGTGAATCACCTCGGCGGCCGCTTTCAGCACCTCCTGGGCGAGGCTGGTGAAGGTGGCCATCAGCTCCTGGGAGCTGACCACCCCGCCCGAGCCGCTCCCGTAGTCGGCAATGTGGCGGCGGTGGTAGCGGAGGAGGGCGTCAATCGCCCGGTAGAGGCGCGTGGTGAAGACGTGCGAGAGGATCGAGGTCAGCGCCTGAATCTGAGCGGTCAGCTCCCGAAACACCGCCACGCCCTCCCTCGCCCGGACCGCATCGATGGTGGCGAGGGAGAGAAATTTGGCCATCGAGAGGTTGAGCTTCTCGAGGACGCCGTTGAGGGCGTGGGCGCTGGCGGTGCCCGCGAAAGCGGCCACCGCCTCCCTGGGCAGCAGCTCGTCAGGAGTGAAGCGGGCGCTGGTGATGTACTCCGTGTCCGCCTCGGTTCGCAGGTACGGCCGCCAAAATTCAGTAGCCGTCTGGTCGACCAGTTCGAGGGTGACGTCCTGGCCCATCTTCTTGCACTGCTGAATGTAGACGTAGGAGGCGAGCTGGGAGCGCGGGACGAGGTACTCGTTCCGGCCGCTCACCTTCAGCAAAAAGTCCTCGTAGTTGACCTGCGGGAAAAAAAGTTTAAAACGTCTTCAACATAAAAATCACCACTTCGCTCTACTCACCTCACTCTTCCCATCCCCGCCGTAGAAGGTGGCCAAGTTGTAGATGATAATGTCGACCACATTGTCCAGCGCACAGGTGAGCTTC